AGGTCATGGGTTTGGATCTGTATACCAAGGAAAAAAAAAGCTCAAGGAACCAGAGTAAGTAAAAATACAAAAAAAAAACGTAATAACTTCGAAAAAAAAAAAAAAAAAAAAAAAAAAAAAAAAAAAAACACATTGAGGCATATTACAAACTATTTAAAAATCAGTTAGAGGAAATCTTGAAAGCAGTCAAGAAAAAATGGCACATGACATACAGAATATTAATATCCACTGAATTTTTATCAGAAATAACAGAGGCTATCTTAGTCCACTTTCTGCTGCTATAACAGAATACCCTGAGACTGGGTAATTTATAAATAATACAAGATTTGGCTCACAGTTCTGGAGGTTCATGGTGCCAGCATCTGGAAAGGGCCTTCATGTTGCATCATCCTATGGCAGAAGGCAGAAGGGCAAGAGAGCATGCGAGACACAGAGAGAAAGGGGGATGAACTTAACTTTTTACTGGGAGCCCATTCCCACGATAATGGCATCAATGATTCATGAGGGCAGAGCCCTCGTGACCTAACCACTTCTTAAAAGTCTCACCTCTCAACACTGCTACAATGGCAATTAAATTTCAACATGACTGTTGGAGGAGACATTTTAACCACAGTAGAGGCCAAAGACATTGGAAAGACACCTTTAAAGTGAAAGAAAGAAAGAAGGAAAGAAGGAAGGAAAGAAAGAAGGAAAGAAGGAAGGAGAGAAAGAAGGAAAGAAGGAAGGAGAGAAAGAAGGAAAGAAAGAAGGAAAGAAGGAAAGAAAGAAAAAGAGAAAGAAAGAAAGAAAAAGAAAGAAAGAGAAAGATAGAAAGAAGGAAAAAAAAATCTCTGCCAACCTACCTAGAATTCTATATCCAGTAAAAATATCTTTCAATAATGAAGGTAAAACAAAAGCATTTCGAGACAAACAAAAATGAAGAGAACTTATCACTGGCAGGTGAACATCACAAAAAATGTTAAATGAAGTTTTTTAGATTGAAGGGAAGTGATACTAGATGGAAACTCAAATCTTTAGGAATGAATGCAAGCATCAGAAATAATAAATAAGTGGATAAACGTAAAATATTATTTTCTTCATTCTTTCAAACGACTGTTTAAAATAAAAAGTATAATGTATCATGGGACTTAAAAATATATATAGGTGTAGTAATATATGTGATCACAGCATAAAGTACAGAGGGTGGGGAGTAAACAGACTTAGAAGATTGAAAGGTACTTATACAGGAAGTGCTACAATATTAGATCAAGGTAGACTGTGAAAAGTTAAGAATACATGATGTAATCTTTAGAGCAACCACTAAAAAATAGATAAAATCTAAATGATTAAATTAACCCATTGAAGGCAGGTAACGAAGAACAAAGGAACAAAATATAAATGGAATAAACAGAAAACCAGCAGTAAAATAATAGACCTAAGTCCAACAATATTAATAATTACATTAAATATTAAATAAAAGAAATTCTCTAATTAAAAGGTCATAATTGTTAAAATCAATAAAAAGGCAAGATCTGACTATTGTCTGCAATTAAACTTTAAATAAAAAATACATAGAAAGGGCCGGCCCGGTGGCGCACTGGATAGTGCGCCGCTTGGGAAGCGCGGCAGCGCTCCCGCCCGAGGGTTCGGATCCCACATACAGACCGGTTCCCGCT